CATGCTTTTATATTTCTCAGAAAGTTTGTTTTCCATGGGTCTTTCTCTTCTTACTTGGAGAGTTGGACCGAAAGCCATCACAGAAAATGCAAAGCTTACCTTTTTTAGCACAATGAGATGCTGGAAAGAGGATTTGCCCTCTGTGTGACTTTGGTTGCAAGCACTTTCCTGGCCCCTAATGCAGCAGATGACATGTTTGTTCCATTGATGAAGCTGTCTTTGACCCCATTTCCTCACGTTATCTGCTAACCAGGGCTAATCGATAGGAACTCTTTGCAGTTACTTGTAGCTCAATTAAAGCCACAGATGATGCAAAAATTGATGATATATGTGCAAAAACATAGTACTAATAGAATAATATGTGGTTATTCTACTGCAGGTTACAGCATTGACATTGGTACGCCCGGCTGAAGTGAGAACCTAAAACTATCTGTGGACTTGTCCTCCAGGAAGTTTTGCCACCTAAATAAATTACGCAGATTTAGGACTTACCGCAGGAAAATGCTGCACAATCTCAGTCCCTGTGAAAGTTAGGGAGGATTCTTAGCACTATGCAGTGCTGTGCGCTGTGCACTCTTTTGAATCCTACTCGGTGGTAATCTGAAAACGACCTGGTCTGTTCATAATTAAGCTAGGCTTGGAACCACATATTCCTAAGTAGCATCTTTGCAGTGGCCAGATGGTGATGCTCACTTTTAATAAACTGAGTATAGAATAAAAGCATTGATGTCAGAACCACAGATGTTATGATTCACAGCTATTTTCTGCTTTTCGTTGTAGGGAAGAGTCCTTCTGAAAGTATTCTTTTCCCTGAATTTGGAATTGGTGACCATCTTTCTAGTCACATGAAGGGAGAGTTATTTAGCAAGCCCTGAATCACCCTTTTGATTCTGAAATAGTGAGCGTAGAAGGCTGGAAACAAAGATTCATGTTCTTATGGATGACATAAATGAGGAATTGCAATTCTCAGATTGTGAGTACGTAACCTAATTTATGAAAGTTTTTAAAGTGCTGTCATAGGTAGATTTGCCAGAACAAATATTTTACCTAGGTCTTTAGAGAGAGGGCTTTATCTCTAAGCAAAGAGCAAAGCCTGCTGAGTAAGTGATCTAGCTGTATTAGAACTCTGTTTCTCAGAGAGATATTAGAGATTGATATTTAAATAGAAGTGTCTTCTAGCAGCACATAGTTTAAAGAAAAAAGTGATGGAATCCTTGACTGAGTGGGTGGAAACTGGCATTCATTTGGTGGGGCTGGGTGTTTACTTGTGATATACGCATTCCTATTTCAGAACAGTAATACTTTCCATCTTCCAGAATCTAAGTCAGATGGACTTATCTAGCCTCAGATGTTCAGAGTAAGATTCATTCCCTCAGGTCCTCTGATGCTTTCCAGCTGGCATTTATGGCACTTCTAGTATAGAAGCTTTGCTGTTGTCCTTCTCTGGGAACCCGTGGGGTAGGTGTCACTCTATCCGATACGCCAGATACACCCTTTGGGGGTGCAGGTGCAGAGGCCGTAGGGCTGCGTGTGAGCTGGTGGAGCGTGTCCTTTGAAGGCAGATTTCCCAGCAGCAACTGAACATTGCAGTATGCTCATCCCATCAGCGGGGGACCTGACTTGATCCTCCTCAACTGACCTCAGCTCATACGTTTTGTGTTTTCATTGTTTGTACAAATTTGATTAAGGCAGTTTCCCAGTACTGAAGCAGTGCAGGTAAATGCAGCTGTTCAGGCTTTATACCATGAAAGAAGGGCAGAGCAGTAGTAAAGAAGCTTCAAGAAACATGTGTTAACTCTCCAGGAACAGATAGAAATGAAACCATGACCTGCAGAGACAGGCTGAGATTGAGGGCCCTGAAACACAGTGGACTTCGTCTGCTTCTATGCAAAAGACAGAGGAACACCCGAAACATGAAGTGCTATAGGATGGTTTGTTTGAGATGAATATTTGCCCCTTAAATAATTGTATTCTGGGTAAATATTATGCCACTCATTGAAAGCCATCCAGTCACTAGTAGTTCAGTCATTCTGCATTGTCTGTAGGGCACTTGCCAAATTGAAGTCAGATCTGCAGAGTTAATAATCTTGTTGGCAGGGACTGCCCTGGCAAGGTCTGCACTGCGGGAGATGTCTCATCTGAGAAGGGAGGACAGTGGACTGCCTTTGTGGGTGCCACAGGGTGGTCAGATGTGCCCTGCTACTTAGCTAGCGTAGGACTCCAAAACAGGGTTTATGCTTTTACAGATAGTCCAGGCCTCACGAGCTGCCATAATATTGGTTACAACAGATACAAGTGTGGGAGGAGACCTCAATCGACTTCCAATAGCAAGAAAAAAATGTTCTATAGGGAACAAGTTATTCCATAGCTGTTTTTGGTAGATGCTGTTGCATGTCATTGAAAAATTTGGTGGTGGTCAGTGTTAAAAGCAAGAGACTGCCCTGATGGATCACAGCTCTGACTATGATTTGTACAACTTCAGTATGAATAAGGAGCCATGAGACGTAATTATATACCTTATTTGTACCTTAAAAGTAGGGCAAATTTGAAGTAATGTTACATCAAATGACGCATCGTGTCACTTCCAAAGAATATTGTTACATCACAGAAAAGAGTTGGAACAAACTATCAAGAAACAAAATTGGAGACCAGTAGGTAGAACTGTCCTGTAAAATTTAAATCAAGGTAAGAATCAAGTATTTGTTATAGGCCCGTTTATTCAGGAAAGCAAAGGCCAACTCTGTTGTTGGAACGTATGCCTAACAATCGGGATGACAGTTAAGATGAATATAGGAATATAATTTTTCCAGCCAATGCCCATCTCAGGGATTATCAGTAGTAAAAAAAAGCCATGAGATTCATGCATGTTCTTTGCAGGGCTGAAGTTTAACAAATTCTTTCCCTTCTTGCTAATGTTAGAATCTTGTTTGTATTAAGTGGATGTTTCTAGTTATATATTCATTGGAAGTGCATCCTGAACTCAAATGCGTCATGCTTAAGTGCTTTGCTGAGTCTAGATGTAAATGAAAAACTTGATTGAGTAAACTATCAATATAACTTTCTTGAAAATAAACTTCATTTGGAAACTCATGCTTGAGTGTATGATCCAGTTTTCCATAAATATCCACTCAAATTTCCAAGTTGCTTGGAATTATTGCAAGGAAAACAAAACTCTCCTTGTGGCTGAAATGTTCCACGTGTCTGGCACGCTGTAGTCACTAGTTATTTGGCTGTACTGATTAACTTGGTGTTTCATGCTTAGTTTCAGTTTCTAAAAGAAGTCACTGCCCTAAACGCATATTTTGGCTCTTAGCTCTAAGGAGGTTGACACTTTCTGTGGGAAAGCAAAGGTGACACTAAGGATGGATTTGTGAATAGCAGTTATTTCCTAGTAAAAGGCTTTGAAGGCCCTATAAAAGCATGGGAGTGTAGGAAGTGGTCCCTGGCTGGCGTAACAGATCATGCCACTTTGGATGATCAGGTGAACTGGTTTATGGCCCTGTTTGATATACTGCATCTTTTAAAAATAATGCTGTTTTTTCATACGTGCCGTTTGGGGCTAGTATGCGTGTTACTAGACAAAATATCCTAACTGCCAGCTATCTTTTGAATATCAACACAGTATGTTTTATAAACGACGCCTAAAATGGCTAGGCAATGAAACAATTAATTGATTTTATAATGAAGCATGAAATCAAATAGGCTTTGCGATAGGGGTGAGAGAAGCTGGTGTCTGATCTGATTAAGATCAATGTCATTATCTGCTCGCTGGAGCCCAGCGGCTGCTGGTGAAGAAGTCACGAGTTTTGGTTTAGCTGTCATAGTTTGACAGGTTTTGCTGAGTAATACGCTAGTGACAGCTCAGTCTCAGGGTGCTCTGGTGTGACACTGACGTGATTGTTTGGATGCGACCAGATTTTTATCGTGAGGAGAAAAAGGGGGCCTCAAAGACCTTCGCTGGCCGCTTTACCTGTGGATCGCAGAATAAGTTCTTTGCTGAAGTGGAAAGGGGAATCGATCGTGTCCTTACGCATAAACGTGTCAGCGTACGCTGAAAAATAAAGGATTTACAAATGCGGAGATATTTTCAATCTCAACAAGATATTCATCCGTTATATATGACTTGAACTGCTGAAATGTCCCAAGGCACGTTAACGTCATTGTTTATCCAGTTTTTCCCATTTTGAGTACCTTGCTGGGGTAGGGAAGGAGAGAAGTGTTCTTTGTTTAAAAAAAAAAAAAACAAAAAAAACCAAAACTTCCCTCACTCTTCCTTTACCAAACAAACAAAAATTCTTGTGAAGCACCTATATGTGACTCCCACGCATCAAGCAGTTTAGCCAGAGAGAAATATATATTGTCCTCCCTCGCAGAGAGTGGGAGTCGGTGTATTTTCTGCGAGGCAAGGGGAGAGGTAGCCTGCTGCTTTGCCAGCTGAGAGAGAGTGAATCGTGGGAGTGAGTTCAGCAGAATGAAATACAGCAATTTCTGTACAGCCCAAGCTGAAATAAAATATTCACTTTTGGCATTCCAGGTTGATACAGAGAGCTTTCAGTAAAATATGTGTTTCCTTAGGAGGAAAAAAAAAAAAGCTGAAAATGCCTTTTTGTTGGAAATAACTCTAATGAGAAGCTTGATTAGTTCTATATAATACATTAAAGATATACTTACTCCTTTGTTGAGCTCAGGTATGCTGCAATATCACTCTGAATTTTTCATTGTATTACTGGCTTTTAAAATTATAACTAAGAAGCAGTATTAGTTATGAATCGTTAGATAAAGGAAAAAGCAGCAACAGATACAGATGCAGAGAATGTGTGTGAATACATTTTGGAAGACCGCTTAAGAAACTTCTTCAGCAGGCAAGTAGAAAGGAAAAAAGTACTTGTATAATCAAACGTGGCTGCAATAGTTAATCCATTTATGTAATTTCTAGCACGTTAATACATTTTTTACATGTGTTTCAACTTACAGTGCTTCCATCCTTCATTTAACCACAGGTTTTAAAGCCAGGCTGGAAGAGGTTCTGACGCTGACAGATGCGAGCGTGCCATTAACACTCAAGATGTGAACGTGGGCTCTTGGTTGCAGCTGCTTGTTTGCTAAGGAAGGATACCTGTCGTCTGGTTGATACCTGCAAAGAGCAGTCTCTATGATAAGTAAGGTGTCAATTCTTTGGTGAAAACACACCCCTCAGCTAATAGCACTATTTTAACAGTATAAAGTGGTAGTCACTTAACAGTGGGAAAAACAAGGACCTTCTCCACAATTTTCTTTTCACTTTTAAAGGGAAAAGCAAATTTCAACCAATTTTTTAGCCAGGTGAAATTGTCACAGCTCCATTACATTTAGGTAAGTCATACTGCTCGTATTCACGTTGTGAGCTATGAGTGAAGGCAAAGCAGTAGATGCATGTAGTACTATTTTATGAAAGTAATACTGTTTTATGCTCAGCTTTAGAAACAGAAAAGTTTTAGCTTTATTAACAAGCTTTCCACGTTCATCATGCCAAGCAAGAATCCTGAGGGTGTAAAGTGTCATGAAAATCTGTATTAGCTAGTATACGCTAGCATGTTTTAAGAAACACATCTTTTACTGCAGTAGGGCTACTTTAGAGATCTAACCAGTTTTTTTTCTATGATTAGCATTAAAAGTATATATATGTATACTTTTTCCCTCTTTAGCAAAATGAATTTGGTTCTTAAAAAGGTACGAAAGAATCCTGTGCAGTAAACCCAATGTATTGGTTCCTTTCTGTGAACCTCTTGCTTTTCATAAATTGCTGAAGACGTACGCTAGCTAACATTCTCGTCCTCAAAACTTCTGCTGCTATACTTCTCTCTAAAATCTGTTATAGTTCTCTCTAAAATCTGTCACCTAGCCCTTTTTTCCAAACCAGTGATGATTTAGCAGTGTTCTTGTTTGTTTGTTTTTAAACCTCTGCTACCCAAGAAAGTATTTGTCGGTATAAATACCAAGGCAAAACATAATTTTGAAAATTAAATCTGCACCCCAGGCTCAGTTTTTCTAGATACCTTTAAGTCAAACTTTTTTTGGAAGACACTTTTGTAGCAGCATTTGTAAAGACAGAGTTATCAGTTTGCTGTGACTTTAATTAAGCGTGCTGAGCCTACCATTCCAAATAATTTATAATGATTAAAGTAAATTTTAAGAGAAGAAAATTTATTTGAGGTCTACTAAATATTTTTCAGAGTTGTGGCTGTAGTACCTTACTCTTTCAGCAAGCTAATTATTAAACCAGATAATCAGTGGCTGTAATTGTTCTGCCACAGGCAGAGAAAGATATTCCTGACAACTCCTCTTTAATTCTTCTTTTCACTTATACCAGACATGCTTTTTGTCTACAGCCTTTTCAGGAGATGCATGAGATCCCTGGGAAGTGCCATGTCCAGAAGCTGCCATACTCACGCTTGTATTTTCTTTGCAGATGTGGCCATTTCAGTTAGATGGATGTGGAAGCGCTGTGGGATCAGATGAAAGAAGGAAGAAATTCTCTTGAGAGGGCAGGAGGCTTTCCAGGTGACACAAAGGTAATGGTGGTCAGGAGGTAGGAAAATGCTTACGCAGGGAGGGGATTGCAAATTCATCATACTTGCCAAATATGTCAAGATAAATAATCGGTATTAGTAATGCATTCTGTGGTTATCATCAGCTAATGGTGAAATAGTGATGGCAATTTTAAGAAGATGATTGCATACTTAATCTTTCAGTTAATGTGTGATTTATAAAGTACTCTAATGGTCATGAAAATGACATGCCTTCAACACTTAAGTGAAGTAAGAACAGATTGGTGCATTCAGAGACTTCCTTGGTGGGTTTACCCGCTCTTAGTAACTCTACTCCAAGGAACAAAAGGCAGGAAATAAGAAGATAGGGATGGGCAGAAGTGCAAGGGTTGCAGAGAGGTCTGTGCCATGCTGTGAGCTGCACTGTGTCCCAGTTGGACCAAAGCTAGCCCCAGGAAGAAAGTCTGGAGCGACAGGCACAAGAGGGGCAAAAACCAGGGACAAGATACAGCCTTAGCTGCACCACGGGCAACGCAGCCCTGCAGCAGTCGGGGTGAAGTTGCCTCCTTGCTGGAGTGCGGAAAGGTCAGCTCTGAAAGACAGTGCCCAGGAGGGAAAGGATCTCTTGGCCCTGTGGGTGGATAAAGCCACAGGCTGTTTTTGGAAGGCCAAGCCATGGAGATGGCATGCTAAGCCACCACCCTGCCTCCAGTAAATCCCTAGTCAAGCTAGAATGACAGGCTGATGTTAGGTTTATTCTAAATGTTGTCATTTCAGTGTTTTTCTTTGCTAGCTTTGTTTCCTCCTCTGTAATCACAAATTTAAACCTTGACTTTGTTGAATAAACTTGGCGGTTTTCCTTTTTTCTTTCTTTTTTTTTTTTTTTTTTGTTTCCTTCTTCTCTAGTCAAGTCAAATGACTCATGGGTCAGGCTTTCCCAAGCCCCAGGGTGTATGGTTTCCATACATCCTATTGCTAGAAAAGCTACTTTGGGGCTCACCGGTATTATTTACATGTGAGGTAAAGCAGCTCTGCACAGGAGACTAGGCACTGAGACACTGGAAA